GCAGAGCAGAGGGGGAGGAGAACCCCCTGATGCTGAGGAGCCAGACAGAGCCCAGGGCAGGGCAGGCTGTGCCAGGCAGCCCCACGTGCCTGCAGGTGGTCCAGCAGCCACCCCCCTGGGGTGAGGCAGGATTAGTGCCAGGCCAGGGAGCACAGTTCAGCTCAGAGCCACGGCAGCTTCGATTCACCCGACTGCAGAGAGGTCCCCAGAGCCACAGCTCGACCTTGGCAGGCAGCAGAGAGGGGCCTGGCTGGGGGATAATCCCCCCCTGCCAGGCAGGGCACTGAAAGCTCTTTTGTTCTGTGACACGGAGAGAGCAGAACCAAAGGAGGGGCTGTCCCAGGCTGTCCTTTCAGTGCTGTAAATCATCAGAGAGCTGAGATCATGCTGGGTATCTGACTGCAGTGTTGGTGAGTGTGCCCTTTTTGAGATGAAAAGCTGAGGGGCAGCTCCTCCCCCGGGCTCTGTCAGCAGCCTGGAGTCACCCTGAGATGCCAGCAGCTCAGCTGTGTGCTTCCTGGTGGGGAAGACCTGGCCCTGGGTGGAGGATTTGGGCCCGGGGAAGGGGGTATGGTGGGTGGAGGAGGCTCCACCCCCACTCACCTCTCTCAGGATGTCTGTGGGTCTTGCCTGGGCTGTGGGTTTCGGGTGGGCTCTCGGTGGCTCCTCGTCAGAGTCGGAGTCCAGCAGCAGGCGCCGGTTCTGGGCCTGCTCCAGCATGGCTCTGCAGGGAGAGGGCACAGCCCAGGCTCAGAGCAGGCCCCCTCCCGTGGCCAGAGGGAACTGGGCACCCCTGAGGTGGGATCCAGCTCCTTGTGTGCTCCCCCAGGCCCCACGGAGGCCGGCAGCAGGAGCTCTCCACAGGGGGATGCCCTGCAGGGGGAGTCAGGCCCCCACAGCAGCCTCACCAGATGGGCTGGGGATGCCAAAACGCCTCCACCTCCACCTGCCCCAAGGCTCTGCTGTGCCCAACCATCCCTGTTCTCCTCCTGGCCAGCTCAGGACTTCATCCCACCCACCCAGCTCCAGGGCCAGGGGGGCTGGTCTCACACACCACCCACTCACTTCATCTCCTGCTCATCCTCCTCTTGCTCCTTGCGCTTCTGCTCCTCCTCGTACTCCTTGTACTGCTTCAGCATGGCCTCAAAGTCCACGTTTGCCTGGCGCTGGTTGAGTTCCTTCAGCTCTTGCAGGTTCTCCAGAACCTCCATCTCCAGCTTGGAGTCCTTGGTTCGGTTTTCCAGGACCTGAGCGAGCAGAGATAAGCCAGGATCAGGTGAAGCAGCAGAGCCTCCAACACCAGCACAGGGCAGGAAGCATGAAGAGCATCATCATCTTCAGTTTTAGGTCTTAACAGGGCAAGATGCAGCTTGTCAGTGGTTCCAGCACAGGAGGGAACCTCCTGATAGCAGAGAGTTGTCTCCTGCCTGTCCAGAGCTCAGCGATACCTCGGGAGCCTGGAGAACTAAGCTCCAAAGTCCCCTTCTCCACCAGGGAGAGCTGGGCAGGACAAGAGAGGTTTGCCCTCTGCAGAGAAGGTCCCATCCTCGTACCTTCATGGGGTTGTTGAGTTCTTCCTCTTCCCTCTCCTTCTGCATTCTTTTCTCCTCTTCCTCCAGGAGCTTCTCAGCCTGGAAGTTGCGCGTGGCGCCGTGCTCCATGGTGTAGTCTGTGTTCTCAGGGTCTGTCTGTGGGAGAAACCAACCAGTAAAACCCCCACACTGGGGTACACTGGGGAACACTTCCCACTTCCATTCACACCCCGGGGCAGACAAACACCCCACGACCTTTTGTTCTGCTGCAGGGGGGGACACTTCAGACCCACAAACCGCCACGAGAAGGGACGTGACACCCAAAACCACAAGGCTCAGAGCCAGTCTGTGCTGGGCCACCTCCTCCCTGTGGGCTCAGCACCCAGGAAGGCCCACAGACCACAGGATGTCCCCAGAAAGGGAGTTCTCCTTCACCTTGAAGGTGATCTCTGCCAGGCAGCGTGTGCACTTGATGTAGAAGCGGAAGATGGGGAGCCCCAGGTACACCTCGTTCTGAACCGTCTCCTTCCGGGCATTGAACTTCTTCCCCTTGTAGATGTATTCACCACAGGTCTTGCAGCTAGAAAAGGAGAGAGAAAAACCCTTCAACGCAGCCATAAAAAGAGGAGCAAACAGCCCAAGAAAAGCCCAAGCCAGTTTGAGGCCACGTCAACCCCGGGTTCTGAACAACGGTTGTTTTCGCCTGTGGAAATGTAGAAGCCGCTCTTCAAACCACCCCTAAAATCCCCCCCAGCATCTCTTCCCTCTCCCTCAGCCCTCCCCGTGTGGGCTGCGTTGGCAGCAGCTCCCCTGCAGGCCGCGGAGGGGAGAGAATCCCTGAAGGAATTCTCCTCCCCATACCCAAACTCCTCCCCCCCGGAGCCGCCTCCTGCCGCCGGGCCCGGCCCCTCTCACCGCATGTTGAAGGGAGCCATGAGCCGCACCACATACTGCCGGTCCTTCGGGAGCTTGAGCTTCGGGATCTTGGCCGGGTCGAAGTCCGGCGGGTAGTATTTCTACGGGCAGGGAGCAGAGGTGTGGGTGTGGAGCCACCCGGAGCAAAGGGGGGTTGTTGCAGGCAGGGATCAGCTCCAGCCTGGGAATCAAGGTTCCAACGCCCCAACCACCGTCCCCCAGCAGCACCAGGCACAGAATCAGGAAGGTTCTGAAGGTCGTCCAGTCCAACCAACACCACCACGGCCACTAAATCGTGTCCCCAAGTGCCACCTCTATGTGTTTTTTTGAGCCCTTCCAGGGCTGGGGACTCCAGCACCTCCCTGGGCAGCCTGGGCCAACCCCTCACCACTCTGTCAGGAAAGAAATTCTCCCTAATATCCAATTGAAACCTGCCCCTGGGGCAACTTGAGCCCATTGCCTCTCCTCCTATTGCTGGTCACCTGGGAGAAGAGCTCAATCTAGAGGGAATGGGGCAAAGCTGGC